CCCAGGATCCTGGGATAGAGCAGAAGTCAGGCTCCTTGCTCAGCGGGGAGCCTGCTTCTCCCTCTCCCTCTGCCTGTCGCTCCCCCTGCTTATGCATGCTCTCTTACGCTCTGTCTGTCAAATAAAAAATCTTAAAAAAAAAAAAAAAGGGTTGGATGCTTACCAGACTGAGCCACCCAGGTGCCCCAGTGGTGCTGTTTATATTATATTTATTTAAGTTCTGAACACACTATGCCAGAATGTTATTTTGTATTTTACTACCTTAATAAAAAATGCAGTTAATAAGAAATATTCTGGATATTCTGGGGTGCCTGGCTGGCCCACTTGCTGGAGTATGCAACTCTTGATCTCGGGGGGTGTGAGTTCAGGTCCCGCACTGGGTGTAGAGATTACTTAAAAATAAAATCTAAGGGGGCGCCTGGGTGGCTCAGTCGTTAAGCGTCTGCCTTCGGCTCAGGTCATGATCCCAGGGTCCTGGGATCGAGCCCCACATCGGGCTCCCTGCTCTGCAGGAAGCCTGCTTCTCCCCCTGCCACTCTCCCTGCTTGTGTTCCCTCTCTCGCTTTGTCTCTGTCAAATAAATAAAATCTTAAAAAAAAATAAAATAAAATAAAATAATAAAATCTAAGGGAAGAAAAGAAAAGAAATATTTTATGCTAGGGTGAGTCTGAGGGTTAACTCAGGCCCTCCCTGGCCCTGTGGCCCATGGAAGGGTCTTCCCCTTCAGTTTTTCATTCTGAGTGTGTGGCACCTTGGGTTGAGTGAGGTTGTGGAGATGGGTAAGGACACTGTGTGGAGAGAAGTTGGCAGGAAAGCAGGAGGGAAGCTTTTGGGAAGGAGCTTGTGGGTTAGATTACAGGTAACGAGAGCCATGATGCTGAGCCATGTGTCTGGGGTGAGAAGTCCTTTATAGGAGGAGATGGTGTCAACAGATTGCATCAGGGTCCACGTGACTCCCCCATCACCCACCTGCTCTTGCCATGGTGAGGGGCTGTCCCAGTCCTTCCAGGGTGAAGGTCTCTTGGAAAGGAAAATCGACCTGGAGAATACCGTTTTATAGAAAAGTCACCTCACCTGAACCATCCTCTATGAGCTGACAGAGTTCCTTAATGTGGCTCTGGACTCTCCAGCAATCCTCACCCCTGCAGGATAGCTGCATACTCAAGGTGGCCATGAGAGCAGATTTTCCCTGAGAAATTGAATAAAGGAAATCTCATTTAAAATGGAATCGGTTGGGGATGCCCAGCTGGCTCAGTCAGTGGAGTGTGTGACTCTCGATCTTGGGTTCCTGAGTCAAAGCCCCACTTTGGAAGCAGAAATTACTTAAAGTAAATGAGTAAGTAAATAAATAAATAACTGAAATAAATAGATAGATAAATAAATAAAATGGAGTCATTGGGCCAGAACTGGGAGCTCTCCCACCCTACCCCAAGTCCTTGATCGTAGACCCCAGCAGGAACAGACAGAACCTTGCATTCCCAACAGGAAGCAGCCCATGCTTTACTACCCCCAGGAGGAGGAAGGATTGTCTCCTTGCCCAGCAACAGCCCAGCCAATGAGAGGCTGCCATAACTCAGCCAATGAAAAACCATGGCACTTAGACCCTCCAGTTTAGGGACTCCTGGGTGGCTCAGTCGGTTGAGTGACTTTGGCTCAAGTCATGATCCTGGGGTTCTGGGATGGAGCCCCATGTCGGGCTCCCTGCTCAGCGGGGAGCCTGCTTCTCCCTCTACCGCTCCCCCTGCTTGTGCTCTCTCTTTCTGTGTCAAAAAAAAGAACCTCCAGTTTATTCTAGTGGACTTTTTGTTTATAAGAGCTCCGGCCAACACCTTTCCTCTGCTTTGTGTAAAGCCTGGAGCTCTCCCCTCGTGGCAGTCCCCCAGCCTGTGTCCCCTACAGAACCCTTACAGAGGTGGACCATCACCTGGTTACTCATCAGATACTTCTGGGGAACTTGAAACAAATGAGATTTCCAGAGCCCCCCCCCGCCCCCCCGGCAGACATCCTGACTCAGCATCGGGGTGAGGCTGGGGGTGGAGTCTGTGCTTTTAAAATGCCTCCCAGGGCGCCTGGGTGGCTCCGTTGGTTGAGCGACTGCCTTTGGCTCAGGTCATGATCCTGGAGTCCCGGGATCAAGTCCCACATCGGGCTCCCTGCTCAGCGGGGGGTCTGCTTCTCCCTCTGCCCTCTTCCCTCTCGTGCTCTCTGTCTCTCATTCTCTCTCTCTCAAATAAATAAAATCTTAAAAAAATAAAATAAAATGCCTCCCAGAGACCCTGAAGCATCAGATGGGCATCTCCTCAGCTGCCGGTTCCTCTCCGGCAGGGGCCTTGCTCTGGCCTCGGGGTCTTGCCACCTTCAAGGCTTGTCAGACGTTCCCTTTACTCCCTCATCGTTTCCCCCCTAGGTGCCCCCTACACTTGGTCAAATCCTGACACCCCAGGCTACCCCGTCAGTGAATCCTACACCTGTCTGCCCCTTCTGTGAACAACTGTCTGTGATGTTCATAGGGTCTAATTTTATTTAAGTTTATTTTTAATTTCACAAGTAGTGCAGGAATGCACCTTTACTATAAAACAATTCAAGAGACCCAGATGGAGTGAAGCCTCTTGACCCTCCCTTGTCCCCCCACTCCCACCCCAGACCAACTCTGAGGTGGGTGTGTGTCATGTCCTTCCAGACTCTTGTCCATGTATTTCCCACCTAGTTTCCAGATCTGGAAAAAGAAGAACCATCTTTCCTCCCACCCCAGGCCTCTCCTCTGCCTGTGCTGCGTTCTGGACCCTTCAGCCTACCCCACAGCCTTTGGCCTCCACTACCCCCCAACTCCCCTCTCCAGCTTCCCTCCCCCCACCACCCCCCCTACCCACATGCACACATGCACACAGATATACCCAGGTGTTTCTTTTCCTGAAAACAAGTCTTTCTGGATCATTACATGCCTTTAACCCCCTCTCCTCTCAGTCTCTCTTCCAGTCAGCTTCTTCAACAAATGTCTCCTTGGCCAGACTTCACACCTGCCCCTGTCAGATCTCAGCTGCATCCCCCTGTTGAACTCCCCCCGGGAGGGCACTGACCCAAGTCGAGGGGTGAAGGCACCTCAGATGTCTGTGGGCTTCTGGCAGCTTTACCTTCCAGGGAGGGAGGAACCAGCTCCTGAAGTTCTCCTGGGGTGTGGCTCACCCCAATGCTCTGGACATGTTCTGACAGCTAGGGCTTCCAGAAACTCCAGGGCCTAACTGAGATGGGCACACAGCTCAGTCTCCTAAATATAGAGGCTGGGGGATGAGGAGCATTCCTGAATAGCTCAACCTCCTCTGAAGGAGGAGGTACAGGAAGAAGGGATTTAGGCTTTACTACCCTTCTTCTAACTTACTATCATAAAAGAAAAGCAAACAAACTTTTGCATTGTGAAACATTCGTTTTCCATTGCTACGCTGCCAAGTTATCATGCATTTAGTGGCTGAAATCAACACAGATTTATTCTCTTACAGTTCTGGGTGTCAGAGTCCAAAACCAAGATGCTGACAGAGCTGCATTTCTTCTGCAGCTTCAGGGAAGAATCTGTTGTCTAGCCTTTTCTGGCCTTTAGGGGCTGTTTGCATTCCTTGGCTAGTAGCCCCTTCTTACATCTTCAAAGCACATCCCTCCAACCTCTATCTCCACCGTCCCATCTCTTCTCTCTGACTGACCCTCCTGCCTCCCTCTTATTAGGACCTGGTGATTACACTGGGCCCAGGATAATTCAGGATAATCTCCCTCTTTCAAGATCCTTAATTTACTCATACTTGCAAAGTCCCTCTTACCACATGAGGTAGAGTATGCATGGATTCCGCGGATTAGGACATAGGGGGACATCTTTGGGGCCATTATTCAGCCTACCACAAGTATAAAATGTAATATGGAGGGACATCAGAAGATAGACACTGAGATTAGACAGATGTTTGCCTTATTTTCTTCATATTATTTTTTTTAAGAGATAAAGCTCTACAAAAATAGCTGAAGCCCTGTGTGGCTTTTCCTTCCTTCTCTCCTCAGAGGTAACCACTTCCCTGAGGTGGGTGAAAATTACCCCCGTGTATGTTTCTGTTATTTGCTACATATTATAAATGCATTTTGTTGTTGTTGTTAAAGATTTTATTTTCAAGTAATCTCTACACCCAGTGTGGGGCTGGAATTTACAACGCCGAGGTCAAGAGTCCCATGCTCTACCAACGGAGCCAGCCAAGCACCCCTAAATGAATTATAATTCTTTACTTTTTAAAATTTTTAGAGATTTATTTATTCACTTGAGGGGCGCCTGGGTGGTTCAGTCAATTAAGCATCTGCTGTTGGCTCAGGTCCATGATCCCAGGGTCTTGGGATAGAGTCCCACACTGGGCTCCTTGCTCAGCGGGGAGCCTGTTTCTCCCTCTCCCTGCCGCTCCCCCTCACTCGTGCTCTCTGTGCCAAATAAATAAATAAATAAATAAAAATTAAAAAAAAAAGATTTATTTATTCATTGAGAGAGCGAGGGAAAGCGAGTGAGCATGGGGAGGGGCAGAGGGACAGAGTAACTTCAGCAGACTCCTCGCTGAGCTCAGAGCCCAATGCGGGGCTTGATCTCAAGACTCTGAGATCATGACCTGAGCTGAAACCAAGAGTTGGACGCTCAACTGACTGCACCACCCAGGGGCCCCCCTCCCAAATGCATTTTTGAAAAGAACAGTACCATTCTTTAAATGTGTTTTGAAACTTTAAGTAAAAGGAATCACTGTGCATACCATATTTGCAACCTGCTTTTCTAAGGCAATATGTTTTTGACATTCTACATGTTGATACATGAAGACCTAGTTCATTCATTTTAACTGCAATGTAGAATACCTCCCATGAGCAAGTTAGAGTTCATTTTGTCCTTTCTTTTGCCGGGAGACAGATTGTTTTCACTTTTTGTGCTATTACGAACAGTGCTTCAAGAAATATCTTTGTAAAGAGAAAATATCTTTGTGCTTGTTTTCCAGAACACTTGTGCTAAAGACCTCTGGTAAGGATGCAGCTGGGAGCGCGTGCTGGGTCTGGGATACCTACACCTTCAGCTTACCCAGTGTTGCCATTCGGTAATACTGTCAACAGCAGTGTTTAAAAATACCCATTTCCTGGGGCGCCTGGGTGGCTGAGTTGGTTAAGCGACTGCCTTCGGCTCAGGTCATGATCCTGGAGTCCCGGGATTGAGTCCCGCATCGGGCTCCCTGCTCAGCGGGGAGTCTGTTTCTCCCTCTGATCTTCCCCCCTCTCGTGCTCTCTCTTTCTCATTCTCTCTCTCAAATAAATAAATAAAATCTTAAAAAAAAAAAAATACCCATTTCCCACATATCCTCAGCATCTGGTATTTTCAGATTTACTATTTTTTCAGATTTATTTTCCTTACCTATTTTCCAGTCACTCTGTTCTGTCCCCAATCGTCTTGAATGTGATGCAGCATCGACTTTTCCTCCATCTCGATCCTGAATGACAAACCCACGCAGGACCCCCTGTGCTCTGCGTGGTCCTTCAAGCTGTCCCCCCTGATTCTCTGTTGGGTTCCCCACTCCCGCCAGCCCTCTGCCCACGCTGAGTTTCATTTGGGCCAGCCCTGGAAGAAACTCTCTGCTCTCCCTGCAGAAGGCGGTGGAATGTGCAGAGATTGTCTACTGAGAGGAACGACGTCTTCTGCTTTACCAGCCCTCGGCCTGAGTGAATGATGCAAGTCTAGCCCTGGAGACATGAGTAAATCCACTTGAGAATTCCTCAGTCCTGAACTCCCCAGAAATAAATGACCGTATATTTTTCCTGTCCCCAAGGATGTTCTGAAACATACCTGCCCATGAGCTAAATAAGCCATATCTTAGAACACGGCCACATGGAGGACTAAATCCAAAGACTGTGACCTTTCTTCCCACAGCAAGCCTCTTTTCTTTAGCAGCCTGTGGCTTTTAGACACCAAATCTTGGGTTCTAAGTTTGTTTTTTTTTTTTTTTTAAAGATTTTATTTATTTATTTGACAGAGAGAGACAGTGAGAGAGGGAACACAAGCAGGCAGAATGGGAGAGGGAGAAGCAGGCTCCCCGCTGAGCAGAGAGGCCGATGCGGGGCTCGATCCCAGGACCCTGGGATCATGACCTGAGCTGAAGGCAGACGCTTAACGACTGAGCCACCCAGGCGCCCCTTGGGTTCTAAGTTTTTACACCCCTCTCCGCACCGCCCCTGATCCAGTTAAAGTGGTGGGCTAGCCATCTTGAGCTCTCTCAACACAGGGAAGCCATCTCTGAGTTGTCTGGCCCTCATAAAGATCCAGGTCTCCTCCCGCTGGTCCCTAAACAAACTGAGACAGCCTTGTCCTCATGGATGCATGGTGAGCAGAAGACAGTTCTCTGCCATCTCGTTCCAACCTCACAGTCTCCCGAACTTTGTCTATTCCTCTCAGCTGTACATAGCCATTTATAGATTCCCATAATCCCATTAGCAATGGCTTTGCCTGAGATATATCCCTGGAAAAGATGGGGCCTGAAGGATTGCTTCCCAAAGGGGTTCAGCCACATGCTTCAAAGGAAACCCCAATGCTGCTGGGGGGGGGACATCCATAACCTCCTGCTGCACAGCAGCTGGGGGTGCTACATCCAGGGATCCTTATACACTTGTATGTCTTAGCATTTGCTCAGTTCTGGGCACAAGATGGATCCTTTAGAAGCTATTCCTTTCCCATAAACTAACAGTTTGTGGTTCTAATGCTCAACATGGATCCCCTTCTCTATTCCTGGGATTTAGAGAGCGGCCCTTACAGAGGCCAGCATGGCATGATGCCCGTTTGGATCCCGAAGGTTACCTTCTGTCCTCTGAAGTATACAAAACTCCATTTCAACTGCAGCTTTCCAGAGAATAACCCCGACCAGTGGAGCCCAGGTGGACACCAGCCCTAATTATCGTCTTTCTGACAAAGACTGCTGGAAGCTCAAAATGCTTGACAAGAGGTGCCAGGAGGCAGAGGGACAAGCCAGCCACAGAGGAAGTCACCCAGAAACCCAGGGAGGTGAAACCCCTTCTCAAGGGCTTGGTTTCAAAAAACAAATGTTTTGGGGCGCCTGGGTGGCTCAGTTGTTAAGCGTCTGCCTCCGGCTCAGGTCATGATCCAGGGGTCCTGGGATCAAGCCCCGCATCGGGCTCCCTGCTCCGCAGGAAGTCTGCTTCTCCCTCTCCCACTCCCCCTGCTTGTGTTCCCTCTCTGGCTGTCTCTCTCTCTGTCAAATAAATAAATAAAATCTTTTAAAAAACCCCCAAAAAACAAAGTAAAATAAATGTTTCCTAATGGCGCTCAGAGGGAGTTGTGGGCAGCCACCAAAGTGAGTCATTTGGCGGATGTCAGGGCTGGGATGTCCACAGCTTCTGAAGAACACCGAGGAAGCCCAAGGTCACATGCCTGCATGGGACGCCCCTCATTTGGCTCCTCTCTCTGGGTTTTTAGATTCCTCCGTTCTCTCTAGCTGGGAAATTGGATCAATCATTTGAAGTTTTTAAAAGGAGGTAGGTGAAACGTTTTGTTTTTGTTTTGTTGTTTGTTTCTGGCAGAACCGTTTAAATCCTGTCCTGAATGAAGGGTTCATTTAACTCCTAAGTACTCGATTAGAGGTTAAGATGTTGTTTCTTCAAGATTTACTCAAACCGAAGTTTTTATTCTTCAAAAATGACACCTCACTCATTAGGTTCTTTTTTTTCCTTTTTTTTTTTTTTAGATTTTATTTATTTATTTGACAGAGAGAGACACAGTGAGAGAGGGAACACAAGAAGGGGAGTGGGAGAGGGAGCCCCATGCGGGGCTCAATCCCAGGACCCTGGATCATAACCTGAGCCAAAGGCAGATGCTTAACGACTGAGTCACTCAGGCGCCCCTCACTCATTAGGTTCTTAAAAGCTCTTACCCTGTGGTTTACCTGATGCCCCTCGTATTTTTCTGCCTCACGCTTCTCAATGACAGACGCTCCCCATCTATCGTCTTCTCTGAGGAACAGATGGGTCGATAGATCCGCTCCACGGTGGTGCTTGCTCTACTTGGCTTCATCTTCCCGGGAAGTTGGTTCAGTACAATGTAAGAAGGAAAGTGAAGGGGGCGCCTGGGTGGCTCAGATGGTTAAGCGTCTGCCTTCGGCTCAGGTCATGATCCCGGGGTCCTGGGATCGAGTCCCACATCGGGCTCCCGGCTCAGCGGGGAGTCTGCTTCTCCCTCTGACCCTCTCCCCTCTCATGCTGTTTCTCTCTCGCTCGCTCTCTAAAAAATAAATAAAATCTTTAAAAAAAAAAAAAAGAAGGAAAGTGAAGGTGTCCTATGATCCCATTTGTGCGTGTCTGGCTGTGTGTTTAATGATGTACACCTAATTTTACCATGGAGAGCTGGAGCCGGTTCCCATCCCTAGCTGATCCTGCCTATTTCTTAACTCCACGTTCACGGACACCATGTTGGTAGCTTGAAATCAGCCATGGTGGGAGTATTTACACCATGAAAATTGGCAAACACTCCAAATCAGGGCTTTTTGTTCCGTGGTGGGGATGGGGTGTGAGGCAGGGTGAGCGCTTAGAAATGTCTGGAAGAAACAAGAAACACCAAAAATAGTTACCTGTACAGAATGGAACTGAAGAACACAGGTATTGGAGAGAATTTTTTTTTTTTTTTTGGCTTTTTGAATGTTTTGTTGTGTGCATAAGTATTTTTTTTTTTTAAAGAGAACTTTCTTTCTTTTTTAAGAACAAAGACTTCCTGCTGTGTTTATTAATCCCACGCCATCAGCAGGAAACTGCCTGGGGCAGAACTGTCTGATTGAGGAAGAGAACAGAGCCTGGAGAGGTGTCTTCAGTGTGGCCTCAGTGGAGTGACGTCCTGGGAGTGGGGTTTGGGGCCGGGCACACACAGAGTGCAGCAGCAGGCAGTCCTTCTAGAACCTTGTGCCGAGTCTGAGAGGGGAGTCAAAGCATGCCAGGCCCTCAGTCAAGACGCCAGGCCCTCAGCCAAGACTTCAGGCCAAAACTCGGGTCACCAAACTCCATGGATGAAGCAGAAAAATGGGTATGAAGATAGGACCCTAAAAATGGTCCAGCTCTAGGGAGGCTGGGGGAGGGGACAGTCTAGAAGGGGCACCGTTCACGGGAGGGTCTTTTAGATTATGGGGCTGAGGGGCAGCTTTTTAGGCCATTCCTGAGACTTTTTCCCCCACAGCTGAAATTAAAGGGGGGGGTCATCCGCTCTGCCCAGGAGGGAAGGAGGGCAAACCGGGGCAGTGAGGAAACAAACAAGAGGCTGGCTCCTCACCACTGGGGAGAAGGCTCACCACCACCCCCGGGGAGAGGCCACAGTCCACAGTAAACAAGTTCCAGGGAATGAAGCAGAACTCTGGTCAGGTTCCAGGAAGCTCATCATACTCCAAAAAAGGACCCCTAGAAGCCCTGGTCTATGTCTGGAGGTGGGGTGGGAGTTCCCACTGGAGGATTGGGGGAGTGGCTTGGAAATTCTAGGCAGAGATAATGGAGGCCCCAGGTGCAAGATGGGCCACAGCCAGAGAAATCCATCAGATATACAGCAAGATGCAGGGTCTGGAGGGCAGCCCCAGGATGGGCTGCTAGGACCTCACTGATGGGGGCCTGGGGGTACGATCCCTTCCCTCCCGTAGGGCCAGGATGCTTGGAAATGGAAAACAAGGGACCAAACATTTGCCTAGGATTGGTCGGAAATTTTGGGGGGGGGGGCACAGTGAAAGGATGGAGCGGCCGCTCCCCTGGCAACAGCGAAATGCCAGTCTGTGCCCTCCGGGGCCCTCAGACATTTCCAAACTCCACCTGACAGCATGGGCAGCGGCCTTCGAAGTCGTGTCAGTTAGGGCTGCCACAGGTTACAAGGGAATTGAAAATCCCATTTTATAAACTCCTAGCCGAGGTGCCAGGCCACAAGGACTAATAAGGCCATGTCTTGGCCTCCTTTCTTTCTAACGTGCTGCTAACGTCCTTCAATTTTTAGATAAGTTAGATGCATACATCTCCTATCACCAGCACAGGAGATCACAATCTCCCCATACTGTGGAGCCTCGAACAACCTTAAAATGCCACTGAATCTATTAATAACAGCCCCCAAAGCCCTATATCAATTACAGGTAAACTAAGTCCATCTCTGCTGACATTTGCTGTCAACATGTTGAATGTGGAGGTCCCATGGACATCACTACATCATAATGGCCAACTGATTCAGCTACTTGGGAGCGTATTTGACAGTTGACTCACTCCCCCAAAAGCCTGCCACGAGGCCAGGAACCCCTCATGAGATACCAGAGGAAAGCCTGCAGAGCCTTCATCGACACGAAGATGGCGGCCGTGTTTGCTGAGCGCCGCGGATGCAGAGGTGGGGCCTGGCCTGTGTGCAGGGAAGGATGGGCCTGGGACAGGTACTACCACCACCAGGCCTGAGTCCCCAAGGACAGCTCTGTACTGTATTTGACAGTATCTCTTGCACCTAACAGGAGGCCTAGCACTTAGTAGGTGCTCAGTAAAAAAAATCAGAAATGAATAATACAAGATGATGCCTTTGATAACAAACATTTGGGAAATCAAAAGGAAGTGGTTAATTCTGCCAGGGAATTAAAGAAAGCTTCCTAAAAGAGGCCGCAGGTCAAGCTGGTCTTTGAAATGGAAGAGTCAGTGAGCAGAGAAGGGAGAAGAGCAGTCCAGAAAGAGGGCAGTGATGTGGCAAGAGGCCAGGCAGGAAGGGAGGCAGAATGAGGGGGGTGGATCTTGAGCTGCAGGTAGGTCTGGGCCTTGCAGACTCTGCACGCTGTTCATAGACTCTAGAGTCCATGTGACAAATTCTTCGACTCAGGAGCCAAGTGGCTTCTTCAGAAACATGACTTTCCTTTTGTCAGAGTGAAACCATACCGTTTCCTTTCTCACCTGGGCTGCCTGGGAGCTCCTGAAGTGCGGAATCCCTTACACTTTTTCCGCATCCCTTCATAGTCCCTTGCAGGACCTTTCCCCTAACAGATTCTGCATTAGTGCTCTGCTCTTGCATAACAATACATCAGATGTAATATCTCAACACAATACACATGTATTAGCTCGCAGTTTCTCCCTGGAAGTCTGGGCAAGGGTTAACTGGATCTTCTGCTGGACTTCGATCTGAGGCCTGACTGGGGCAGGATCTGCTTGCAAGCTCCAGTGGTCGATGGCAGGGTTCAGTTCCTTGCAAGCTGTTGGGCAGAGGCCTCAGTTTCTCGCCTGTGTCAGCTGGTATCTCAGTATCCCACCCTCTCTATAGGCTGGGCACAACACGGCAGCTTCCTTCTCTTCTTCTTCTTCTTCTTTTTAAATATTTGACACACAGAGAGAGAGAGAGACACAGCGAGAGAGGGAACACAAGCAGGGGGAGTGGGAGAGGGAGAAGCAGGCTTCCCGCCAAGCAAGGAGCCAGACACGGGGCTCGATCCCAGGACCCTGGGATCATGACCTGAGCCGAAGGCAGATGCTTAACGACTGAGCCACCCAGGCGCCCCCAGCTTGCTTCTTCAAAGCCAGTGAGGGGAGGTATCGGAGCGAGACGGTCATTGCAATCTCATATAATGTAATCAGATGCACATGACCATAGCCATCCCGTCACCTTTGCCTTATTCCATTGGTTAGAACAAGTCCCACCCTCATTTAGCCAGCTGGTTTTAGAGAGGCAAGAAGATCATGGGACCATCTGGGTCTGCCCATCAGCTATTAATGGCTAGTTAATTAAACTAGTCTTGTTGGCACTTAAAGATATCACCATTACAGAGACATAGATATTGTCACAAGAAGGCAGTGAAGTGAGTTCTGTGCCTCCCAAGAATGCTCTCCCTGCCCCCACAGCATCTGCCGCAAGGCCAGGCAAAAAACAAGTCAATAAACATGAAATGAAATGTCCTAGGATTCGCATTACTGCTGGAAGGACCTGGAGTTTTCTACCATCAAGGTAATTATCGGCTTGTCATAAATTTCTCGATTAACATATGTAATTTAAAAAAGCCATATACCAATTGTAACAGCCACAAAGTGGGAACTAGGTCAGACATCACTATTATGAATGTGGGCCCTTCCCTAGAAAAATGTCTCCTAC